GCTCCGCGATCCTCCCGTCCGTCCGCAATGTGCGCGTGTTTAATGTTGCCAGGGCCAAGGGTCGTCGTTTGTGGTAGCCGGATCCGAACCGGGGATTCTTAGCACCCCCTGCCTCGTCGTCGCCCTGGTCGCTACCGTAACCAGGAACGGCGAGGCCGCCGGGTACTAGGGGCCGTGGTCGTTTTGTAACCATCGTTGGGAGGGTTGTGCCAATAATCGCCACGCTTGGCAGGCGGGTTGGCGATCGCAGTAGTTCCACCGTAACCTAGGGACGCTGCTGCCCGTCCTCCGGTGGTCTGGACGCAGTTTAACGACAATACCCGGGTCAAATAGTATCGGCTTTAATAGTATCGGAGCCTATTCAATGCAAGCAAACAAACAAATAATCAAGTATTTCCTCTTTATAATATTTTTTTATAATGGTTTTAATGATGTTTTTTTTTTTTTTTTTTTTATATCATAAGGTGGCAAACGAGCGAGCGGTCACCTGAAATCGCTGAAATAGCGAAGCGACCGCTACCCATAGACATACGCAACCGCATATGTGTTGCCTACCTTTAATCGACGGAGGAGAGGATGCACAGGAAGAAAATATTTTCCCTTTCCATGCATCCTCTCATCCGGAAAGTCCACTTCCACTTCCCATCCTTTCCTTATAAGAAAAAGGGTGGGAAGGGAAAGAGGACTAATTTTGGCCTCCGGGACGCACACTCATCAGACGAAACGCGGAATTGCTTTCACTTCACGCCTGTCTTCTGTGTGGTCGTGGTATTTCACCGGGCGAGCCGGGCCGATTCGTGCGAAGATGTTAAAGCGGGCTCTACCACTGACAAAATAATATTATATTATATAATATTTTTTATCTAAGTAGAATGCTAATTACCTATCTTTTAAATAATTATAATTCCTTTATAACTATCAAAACCACATCTTACAAGTTTTTTACGGACGTTCGAAATGTTGTCTGCACGGGTGCTCAACCCGTGAAAAACGTCAGAGTTCCATACATATTAGTAAGACTATTTTACGCCATGCGCAATTTATCATTGGAACATAGTTATTATAGTATAGGGTAAGGGAAAGAGGAGTGCAAAAGATTACATAATTGGTTTATTCATTTTATACATATGAAAATAATTTATAACGATGAAGGCGGATCAGTAACAAACTGAATGAGCATCACGAGGAACGTCACCACGGAGCGAGCGCCCTGCAATAGATAACATACAAGAAAGATAAATAAAACTTATTTCTTATGAATATTACGAAAGTAAGAACTTTTTGCCTTACAAGATTGACCTTGGACCTTACGATGTAGAGTAGCCATAGCGCGCCCTCAGTCAGTTTGTGTTAAAACTTTTCGGTGGTCAATTACTTTTGTTGGTTTTGGTGTACATTACGCTCGGTAGGGGCGCTGCACAAATTTTAATACAAATGTTGTCAATGCCGTTACGGATATTTTTTTACGAATTTTCGTGCTAGGCTCTCTGTGTGGGTAAGCGGCCAGTGCCAGTAGCTTCCTAGTAGGGCAGAGTTTTAGACAAAACCGTAGACATGATCAGTTTATACCTCACCTCTGTTATAAGTAAGTAGTCCAGCTTATACAAGCCCCGAGCGGTGAACACGGGAATTTGGTGCAGTAGTTGTAGAGACAACTGCATTGCCTGCAAGTTGAGGTTTTATTCCAAACGGTCCGGTCGTTCAACTTTGCCTGACAGTCAAGTACGAGTCTTGCAGCAACGAACATTTTGAAGGCTAATTAAAAGCTGTGCCGAAATTAATTTCGGTTTATTTCAAACAACGAAACAATTTCATATCTCAATGCTTTTTTGAACTTTGCACTTTTTAAAACATACATGGGTTCTGTTTTTGTTACACATTTGTTGCAATATTAAGTACGTGGAATATCTTTTTTCTCATGAAGCACTTTCTTTCTTATGATATTGTTTTTTAATGTGTCGTAAGTAAATGAAAGAGTGTGCTTAGCGTCTGAAAGTGTGCATTCAAATATTATCTAAAAATTACAAAACAAAGGGCCTAACCATAACCTTTTATTACAATGTCACCGGCGATCAAAGGGTTAAAACACGTGTTTACTTAAATATTGTCTAACTGTATTGTTGGTGTAATGCAAAAAAAATCTAAAACTACTATTATTTTGTAAATTCCAGCCACCGTAAATAATTTGAATATTTTTTGTTTTAGGTATAATGGCCACTAAAAGCAAAGCAAGGAAATAATTTATCACCGATTTTAAAAGCAATATAAATAATTAGGCTACGTAATATAAAAAAATGTTAACATAATATATTAAAAGTATTTATTATAATTATTATATAGCTGGAATTTAAATTACGTAAAATGGTTTACATATGAGTAATTATTGTTTGTACATGACCTAACTGTTGGACTTGTTTCCTTTTAATACGAGGATTCATTCATTTTATTAATGTCTTACTAAAGTTTGTATATGTATGTATGTACATCGCTCACGCCCAATATCCATCGACTTAGTCATCCACGCTCATCGGCAACAACTAATTTGATTTGAAGAATTTTTCTTAAAATTCTTCAAATCTCCTATCCTCACCAAAACTATCATTCCTCACTTTTGCAACATAAAATCTAATCACAATATCTTTATTCATCGACCCTATAATATATGTATGTATATTATTTTATGCAAGAACACAAAAAAATACAAAAAAGAAATTACCTCAGATGTTATAGCAGTACTGACATTATTGTTAATAATCTCATGAATAAGAAATCCTGTAGCTTTAGCCTGGAAATTGAAAATAAATATTAAAATATAGCAAGTATAATGAGTAAAAACTTGTTTAGCCGTTTGTATATTAGTTTACGATGTTAAATATTCTCTTTCTGTGAATCCCCTCCTCCGTATATCAAATGAAAGCAAGGCATCTGCAATTGTGGATGTCCAAGGGCAACGGACGCTTGGCTATTTCAGCGATTTCTGGTGGCTCGTTTGCCACCTTATCATATAAAAAAATGGCTCATGAAAGTTTACACATTTAATGTAGAAGTAATGATTTTAGATGTACTTTCATCAGGTGGGATCGTGGTTAACCATTAGCTTATTCAATATACAGATTTTTTTTTGCGAGATATATGATAATAGACTATTGTCTATTGTCATATATACTATAACTACGAGATGTATGGCAGCTACATATATAGCTATATGTAGCTGCCATACATCTCGTAGTTTCATTTTTAATGAATTGTAAAAGGAAAAATATATATAAAAGGAACGCTAAATATCAAATAATTACCTCAGCTACAGTTAATTCGCATAGACATACGAATGCATAGATGACGGCAATGCCTACAATGATATGCCAAAATACATAGACTAGGAACGCGCAGTACCTCGGCGCGTCGTAGAACAAACCAGAAGCAGTGGCTTCCATTAAGTAGAACAAGTTCAGTGTTATCGTAATCAAACAAAAGAACATGGTAAATACTAAAGCCACACCATATATCTTGTTTGAATTCTCTGTACTTTCATACAAAGTACTAACAATGTTAGCGCATGTCTTTATTTTCTCACACACGCACTTTTCTTGTAGCTGCAAAGCTTTATCTTCGTTCCGGGCTCGTCTCTCTCGAACAAAAATATAATATTCATGTGAATTCTTATCTTTTATCGCCCTAAGAATTTTGTTCACGGTTTTATATCGCTCCTTTACCATCATCAAATAAAAACAATAATGATTAGCAATCGTCAACATCAACATTTCGATATACACAATATTATACATTTTATTCCAGGGTAAAGGAACATTAAGATCTTTCAGGATCAGCCATAATGTCCACATTTTTACCCCACTTAATGCCATTTGAATTAAAATCACTATCAATCCAACTAAAGATGTCTGAAATTGCTTTACCTTTTGGAACAACCGATCAAAGGTTTTATCGATATTGGCAAATTCTTGTGGTTCTCCAATACTTTTGCTCAAATCGAATGGTATCTTCCACATAAGAAACAGTACGTACAGAAAAGATAAGATATCTTGTATAGAATCTCCATATTGTTTTAATTTTGTGTCGTACAAAAGTCTCAAGATAGTTTGTCCTTCTATATAAGAGATGAATGAGGAATAAAAGTATACACTGTGCCAAATTACAAAGCACATTAAGCCAACATAATTAAAACGATACTCAATTTTTTCTCTGACTGAATTAGTATTAACAGTATAAATAGTAGTTCCCATTAGACTCATCAAACGTGGCACGAGATTCATATATTGAATATTTCTCAACATTTTTGGTATAACTTTGAAATACACCGACATAAAGAACTTGATATTTGTTAGACTATAGTTTGAAAACGTGCTTGTAATCCAAGGATTACAGGTGCTAAAGGAATTGACGTATTAAAATAATGCTGCGTAATTAACTTCGTCAGACTTACGGTGTAAAAGGTATTATTAAATAATTAGAGCAAATGGATCGTCATTTGAAGTATAATATATTGAATGTATAATAAATCTTGAAGAGAGCATTCGTAATACTATTAAGTCACCCATAATAAAAGTATCTTGTTGGATTCTCCTGGAAACTCCAAAAACTTACAAATGAATTTTCATACAAATAGGAGTTACGAAATAACGATTATTGTTTTGAAACACGAAATAGTAGTAGGTACTCTAATAAATTAAAAAAGAACTGGTACAAATAAACAAAACAAATAAGGGTAATAATACTTTAGTAGATAAATAAAACAATCTTATGATATCGCAATTATCCAACAGATATTTAGATATTTTATTCTTGAAAGTTCATTTACATTGGTAACCTACATTATTGAACATCGTAGGCATTTCTTATCTAAATTAACAATGAAAAGTTAGGCGTGTTATATACAAAGGTTTTAAGTATAATTCAAACTATCTTTTTGTATTTATAAGCGCTATACAACTTTACAACAACTTTTTAACCGCAAACAGTATTACTTCGACATTTAAACAGTGAATAGCTGCATAATTTAAGTGCTTTGAAAATAACGGAACCAACTTAATGAAATAAAAAAAAATTCGATTACCTTTAATATTTCATCTCACCCCAAATTCCTCGTTCAGATTTATTATAAGTTTATACGAAATTTATAAGATTATACGAAATCTAAATTCGAAAAAAAATTCTACGTTAAATACAATTCGGTAGACACATAAATGTATTAAATTCAATATGTTGCAATTATAAAAAATAGTTTTAAAATTTTAATTAAAGAGATTCTTTTCCACTTTACATTATTATGGCAAAAAAATAGAACACATGCATTAGTTCTATATGGTGAGGGAAATATGTTAAATCACATGACTAATATGAATTTGAGAAGTAATGTCAATAAAAATCATTATATTCAATCAGAATTTTACTTTTACAAGGAATTATTTATAATTGCAACACTGATGAAACTTTTAAATTATTAAAAATGATAGTTTACACCATAGAGGCAGTGTTTAAGCCTCGTTTACATAGATATGGCACAAAGTAAATTGTAACACATTTGTTACGGTAACACTGTTATAATACTAGGTCAAAACTGCACATCGACCATAGGAAAGAGACTTCATTGCTACAATATGATCTTTATAGTTTCAACGCATAAATTACATTCAAATGATTATCGCTTTAGAAGTGGCATTCTACCACAAATCCTCACTGTACATTTAAAACCGTTAAAGCTTATCCATTTCAATAAACATTTGCTTAAGGAATATTCGTAAATACGTTCCACATTTATATACACAGAGCAAAGGCCTCTATTTTTTTCACTAAATTTATATCACTATACTTTAAAATTAATCTTTTTTTATTTTTAACCAAATTGAAAAATAAAAAAAATTGCAAATTAAATTGAAAAAAAGATAATTATGCACTCTCCGTGAGCATATAAAAAGTGACGAAAAAACTTTGATTAGGCGGAATGTAGTGATGGAATAATTGCCATTTAGTTCTTATAACGAAATTCGAATTAAAAAAAGAAAAAAAATATAAAAAAATAATTATTTACAACAGTAGTTGTGTGTTGAGTAAAGTTTAATAAACTCTAAAGAACTATTTTGTTTCATAAAAGGAGATCATTAATTTTTGTATGGACCTTTAAATTAAATTAAATTTATTAAATGTCAAATAACTTAAAAACCGTGCATCTGACAGATGGAGTTAGGTTTTTTGATGTTTCAATCTGAATTTTGACATTTGCTGCCATATCTTAAACTGTTAATTATTTATTTTTATTGCTTTTTTTGTCATCTTCTTTCACTTTAAACTTAACATGCTGGCGCTTTAAATTTACAAAAATAAGGATTTGGCATATTATTAAATTTTGATTTTTTACAATGCATTATTTTTTTTGACAAGTCATTACAATAATGTAAGCCCAAAAATGATCTCCTTTGATTTGAAAAAAAAAACCAAAATGACAAAAGAGTTTAGAGCAAAGCATCAAAACAGTAAAAAGACAAAACTAGGTGCTGGATCAGTCTGTTACAAAGGTACAAAATAAAACGGTAATTCATACTTTAGGTGCCAAGATACAAATGTAGACGCGGTAGTTCTTTAAAAAAACAGTAAGCGAGAATAAATGACGTTACGAAACATTCCACAAAAAAATCTTTAAAAAAATAATAATTTTATAACGAAAAATTATCATGAGATTACCTAAAACAGATATTTGGTAATTTGAAATATTACGACTAAGTTTGAAATAACATGTCAACTTCATTTAAAATTTGTGTTGAAAAAAGTGTTTGTCACAAAATGAATGATTGTAAAAAAAAATAAGGAAAATCATAAACCTTGATGGCATGAAGACAATAATAATGAGACATTTTGTAAAACAATTATCTATTGTTGAAATAATGAATTCTGATGCGTAATAACCCCATACCTTCATTACCTTGTCAATGATAGGGATAAAAAGTGAAGGGGATAAAAAAATTAAAACAAATTACCTCACCATTAGCGGCTTTATACAATGTTTTCAACCAAAGCCTAAACAGTATAAAAAGCTTGGTGTATTTGTCATATGACTTTATAAAATAAAATACTCGTTTTCATTTGTTTATTGGTTGGTGTAAATTAAAAAAAAGAATAAAAATCGATATCAGATTGCGCGCGTAAATTCCAAAATATTACCGGCAAAACAATTTTTCTCGTACTATATTAATATTATATTTCCCTTCACTCTATCTTATATTTTATATATTTCAGATTAAACTTTGAAATTCGTGTAATGAAATCGATGTATGGACTTACAATATTTAGTTCTTTTGTAATGGAACAATGGTAGTATTATCAATGTAACAGTATTTTGCAACGTAATTTTTATAGATTATACATCTGATTAATAAATTTGCTTCCATATTTTATTTTTCAAACAGCATGGATATATCGGTTTGGTAATTATTTACTATGCATATATACATTTTTACAGAAATCTACATATAGTATATTGGAGCTTTAATATTCCAAATCCAACGCAACCAATCTACATTATGCAAACATAGCAATGTGTATTTAAAGAGTAAGATAATTTCTATCGGATCGTAGATAACTATAGCATGTAAATGTATTTAAGAGCTCCAAAATTTTTTCATTTTTTTTACATTATTCATTTAGAATTTAAACTATTTAATTAAAGAGGCATTTTAAAGTGAATTTTAATGTTCTATGTTTATTTGTGGAACTCAACTTTTTAAATATACATTTTCTAACATAGTGCGAAATATTTTGATACTTGGATTATAATAGTGTTGCTATTTCAAGGCAATCAATAGCTCTCTATATCTCATCGCGCATAGCATTCAATTACGTCTGCTTTATAACAATAATTTCTGATCTAAAAATAGCAAGAATCGCAACTGTGAAGTTAGGAATATTCAATAAATATTTAATATTTTTCTATATTATCTCAGCATGTCTATATGTAAATAGGTTTTTTTATATACTATTACATAATAGTAACTTTGTTTTTGACCACTCATTCGTAAACCACACATCTATTGCTACATCCGATAAGGCAAGCGTCGTAAATCATAATGCAATTTCTATATCGATACGTATTAAGGGAAAAAATATAAAAAAAACAGTTGAATAATAGCTGCCATTAAGAAATAAAATACACAAATCAGTCTAAAGAGAGATCGAATAAAAAACAAAAAAACTAATTCATATAACTCACAAAAGATTCCATCAATTATGTTAATAGTTCTCAAGTTCTAAGTAATAAGATATAGAAATTGCACATCATTAAATTTTCATGTCAATAACTTTTATAGTTAAACGTAAAAACCTTATTTGTAAACAGATTACTTAGTTAAATTATAGAAAAAAATTATATAAATGCTTATTGTGACGATAATGACAATAAAATTGTGATATGATTGCGCTCGAGTCCGATCAAAAAAATGCTATTCGAAGGACAAACGCACAGATAAAATATAACTACGAAATTGCTCCTTCACAATTCCCTTTAATTTGTAAGAAACGTGTAGCAAATACTTGAGAAAATACTTCACACCTTATTGTTTATTACTATTAAGAGTCGGTCCACTATATAACATGTGATTAGGGCATCCACACACGACATACCGAAAGTGTGTACTTATAATTGTATAGGAGCAATCTTAAAATAAATTAACTGCCATTCATTCACACACAAACAAATATCAACTAATATAACAAACAGACGACGCTCCGTAACAACTCCGTGCAAACATTGCACATTCACTTTTGTAAAGCTTCACATCTAAAATATTAATTTAAAAAAAAAATCACATCTCATTAAATATCTTTGGATACAACCAAGTAAAAGTAAGATATATAGCGTACAAAAATACAAAAAATATACAAGAGAATGTCCAAATATAATCGGAGTATAGTTAACCTAGATGCGTGCGTCCTTAACTCACGGGTCAATTGGAACGAGACAGACTAGACACAACATGTCGATATGGTACACATTCAAAGGTCCTCTCCGCACGACCGACTCGCTAGAAGTCGGTGTCGGGTACTGCAACAATGTTGTTGTTGCAATAGTTGAGATTCGTCGGTCACAGAAGATCCTGCACGTGCGAGGTGTCGAGGTTTGTGATGAGGGTCTTGAGGAAGGTCATCTCCTTGCGGGCGTTCTCGAGGATGACGCGCGGGTCCTGCGAGGTGCAGCGCAGGCAGTTGGGCGCGAACACCATCGCCAGGTTGGCAGAGTCCATCTTGGTCTGACTGACCACCTCCGGCGCGGTGAATTGTTGCAGGAAACTTATTAAATATGTGAGAACCTGAAAATTATTTAAAAATTAATTTATGTAACAAAATGCTTCAATTTCCAAATAATTACGACATTCTCTTTCCTTCTACGAAAGTGGATAAATTAGTGGTGATGTACGTACGAGTCTGTTGAGCGCGGGCAGGCGCTGCAACGCGCGTGCACAGGCGGCGAAGTCGCTGCCGGCGGCCACGCAAGCGCCGTACAGTGCGTCCGGGATCAGCGGCTCGTACAGTTCGCGGTACCACAGCTTCAGTAGGCTGGCCGGCGCGTGCGCATCTGATATAACATACATATACATTAAATAAAAAAAACAACTTCCACCGAAAATGAATAGATACCTAGATCAAGAATATAGATAGATCACAGTATGTTAGGTTGCATGGCTTCTGAATCCACTTCACTAGCATATTATTCATCTCAATCAGTAATCTCTCTCGGATTATTTACAGTGGAAAATTCTGTATAGATTAGAATAATTAACCAGTCAATGTAGAAGCGTCGGGTAGCTCCCAGTTGTCGATCTTGGCCTTAAGGGCATTAACTTCGTCGACGTCAGCGGAGACGCGGAAGATGCCCTCGGTGTCGCGGCCGCTGAGCGCCAGCACCTGCTGCGACAGCGCCACCTGCACCCACGGCAGTTGCCGGTGCGGGAACCGCTCCTTCTGCAGCGCCATCACCTCCGCCAGGGTGTTACCGAACATCGACTGACGGAAGATCTGGATCTGAAAAGGATTAACACGCATACAGCGTTATTAAAATAGGGAACAAAGGAAGAACAATCTTCAATGAATACCTTAATATGGTACCACGATTCTATTCTGTGTGCAACTAAAAAAATTGTGATTAGGCTTTGATTTCAAATATTTCATCACGCCACCCACATAACAATGTTAATTTTAAATTTACCCTAGCTTGGTCTATGTCTTCAGTGCTGGGTTTTCTTGGCTGCCGCTTCCCGCCAAAACCGATTCTTTCTAAACGTTTACACGCCACTCCGGCATAGTGCGATACTTGAACGTGGATCGGCCATTTACCAACCTGCAAATAATTTATTGCATTCATCTGTCTTCAACATAGAAAAAATACTACTTGCCTTTCTAAAAGTTTTATTATTCGTAATGATCTACACCAGCAATCGTTTTAGTGAAACAGAATTTGTAAGCTTGCACCGAAAGAAAAGATAGTTAAATCTTACTTCCGGGAAGGCATCAGCGAATGCGGGGTCTCTGTGCCTGTTAACGTAGTTGGTGAGTGCGGGCTGGAAGGCGGGCGAGGGCGGCACGAAGGCGAGGCACACCGCCAGCAACTCCCAGCCGCGCAGCAGCGAGTCTCGTAGCGGGTTCTCCGTCGTCTGCCGGCACAGCTGCACGTACAGCTCATCGCGTAACCTGCACGTTTGAATCACACAATAACTGTAGTCTAATACAAACCAAATAAAATGTCATTCATTAAGCTTTAATTATAACAAAATGTACTAACTTTTCATTGGTAAATGTGGCATGTAATATATCCTGGGCGACGGAGTTGAGCGTCATGCCGGGGCGCGCCTTGCGGTCTCCCATGTAAATCTGCACGAGTCGGAACAGATCGATGGCTGCCTTCTTGTGCGCCTTGTCCCACTCCGCA